GGATTTGACCAAGAAAGATCAAGCTCCATGAAGGCATGTTGAGCACCGTGGTTAGCAGAGGGGAGTTACCTTTGACCCAGTCATCCATCATAGCTGGAACTAATTTTGAGGTACTGACAGCCAAACTTCTTAAGATTTCAGCCTCAGCAGGATGGGTTATGAATCCCATTGGTTCCAATCAAGTCATTTTTGCTGTAGGAAACATCCAATGTAAACTCTAATAATGTGACTACCTAATGGGTCATTATTTACACTAATCAAGACCTACTTACTGCTTCTTTAGGTCCCATTAAAGCAGTGATGCTCTTAGTGCTCAACACATCCATCGATCAGTCAGCAATGAGCTAGGGGATGGAGACATGGAAATGAAACAGATCCTTCCCTCAAGGGGTTTATGTTCTACCGAGAGAGAAACAGCATAGAAACATATATCTGTATATGAAATAAATACAAGGTAATTTAGAGAGGGGCAAATATTAGCAGCCGGGGAGATCAGGAAAAGTCTCAGGTGGAATGTGGCATTTGGACTGGCCTTTGAAGTGATCTTGGGATTCTGAAAGGTGGAAGTGATGAGGGAGGATATTTTGGGCATAGGGCACAGCCAGTGGGAAGCCAGAGAGATAGGAGATGGAATATTGGGTGTTTGAGGAGCAGTAAGAGGGCCATTTTGGCTGGACCAAAGAGTGAGAACTCCCTCCACATATATTCCCCAGATTGGGACGTCCCACTATCAAAGTATCTTTTACTTCCATTCCTTTCCCTTCTGTCTTCTCTACCTTACCCTTCCTCACCTTCCTGGCCATTCTTTTTCTTTCCAGGAAGTTTCAGACTTCTAAGCCAAGGCTTCCTCCCACTCGCTGGTAGAAAAACAAAGTTCAGTCTAGCAGCTTCTGTCATTCAGCCGTCTCTGTTTGCTTTTTGATTAACATGTTGTTTTTGAAGGAGAAGTGATGGGAGCACAGTTGCTTCTGGGTAAATTTGAAAAGTGTACATAACAAGGATTCACTTCCATTCTCCTCTCTATCAGTACTCTGAGGCTCTGTGTGTTTGGTGTGTGTGTGTATGTACATATGGTCATAAACACCCAAAGGGAGATTTAAAAGTTTGGGAGAGGGTCAGACACATGGACTTTGAACTGTTTTCTTCAAACTTCAGGGTATGAAGAAATTTCAGAACCTCTCTATCCATATGTTGGGTCAACCCAGGTAAGAAGAGGCTGCCAATTTGTCAGAGGACAATTAAGTCCTATCCTCTTATCATCCAGGAAATGATAGTCCCTTTACCGAGAATAAAGATAATTGCTCTTTGCTGGAGTTCTCCAATTCCCAGATACCAGTGGCCAGTAGAATGAGACCTCTGCCCACTCTCCCACTGAACCTCACATTGTTCATTCTTGTCTCGAGACATGCCTCTCTGGTGAGGCTGCTTTACGGATTCTGGATTTCACAATAATTAAAAGAAAGCTATCTTGACTAGTCTGTAAATACCATTAACATGATACCAAAAGGGGTATCAACAAACCAAACGTTAGATTTGCTGGTCCAAAGAAAAGAGAGAGATTCCTGGGTTGGCAGCCATGGGCACACTCCCATCTGGTCCATGGTTTCACAGTAAGTTAATTGTACCTATTTCCTGCGCTGGGAAATAGATTTCTCCTCAAGAGAACTGGTCAACCTGCAATGAACCCAACAGCACGGAGGAATTAAAATGAGCCACAGTTCCTTTAGCAAAAGAAAAGATCTTGAGTCCAGATGAGATTTAGGCAGGAGAGAATCCCAGGCATGATCCTCTTCTTGCCAGTGAGAATTTAAAGCTACAGGATAATTAAGGAACCATTACAGTCAGGGCACTGATGGGCAACACTGAAAGGTTTGGAATGTCTTGAATATTCAGGTTTTGAGGGTAGCCAGGTGACTGATGGGCTGTCTATTCAGTGCCCAAAGATCAGCCTCATTAAATTCCAGAGGTTCATTCTCAGGTTCCCTGTAGGATGATGGTGTGTATGTGTGTGTCTTTTTTTTGGCATCCCAGTTTTTAAAGATCATCCATAAAGTCATAGAGAGACTGCAACCTGTGTTTGTGGAGGGCATCTCCAGACTGATGAAGTCTTTGAAATATTGAAAATTTATGTCTTGAGTTCTCCTTACTTTCTATATAAATGGGCAGATATCCATTACAGCTAATGAATGAGACAGAATATTCCGTGCATAATTTGCCTATCACTGGATACTGTAAGCCCAAATGGAACATGTTCCAGTATTCCAATGTAAGTTCATCTAAGAATATTCCAGCAAATACTTTGTAACATTACTTTTTTTTGGTCCAAATCTGTGATTTTATGGCTGTGTAGAACTCCTAGAAAGTCTGTCCAATGAGGCAAATGGGTACACTTTGCAATTTATACTCTTAAAGCAGGGGAATCTTAACCTTTTTTGTGTCGTGGACCCCTGGCAGTTTGATGAAACCCAGGACCCCTTTACAGAATAATGTTTTTAAATACATAAAATAAAATAGATAGGACCAAACAAAAACAATTATACTGAAATACGGTTGTCAAAATATTTACTTTAAAAAACAGTTTATGGGCCTCTCAGAGAGTTGGGAGAGTATGAGACAGGCTTACAGTGGAAGTGTTTTATTACTACTTTTATGTCAGTTTCATTAAATGCTTCTATTAAAAAAAAATAATGGCTTGGGAAAGAGTTGCCATGTTGTCAAGGAAAGGGGCCCAAGTGGTAGATTTCAGGCTAGAATTTCAGCCATTAAAACAGGCACCTACTCTGAGCCCCCAAATAACAGCATATTATGTCTACTTCAAAGTACCAGGTCCCCGGGAAATGATAGACTTTATTCCCTGAGTTCTAACACCTCATTAAGTGTATTCATATCAGTGGGCTACATTCCCACCCTTCTCCTACTGTTTGACTACTGTAGATCTGAAACTAGCCTGTCATTCTTTCTCCTCTGGTTCCAGCTTGCCACCTTTACCCAACAACTCATTGGGCTTTTGTAGGAAATTAGGCTAAGTCCACTGACTGGTAGGGAGCCCCCATTTTGCCTTTGGTTGTTTGTGTTAGTTTTGCCTTTGCCTGCTTTGCTCCTCCCACTTCAACAAAGCTGGGACCCAGCCTGGCTCTCAGGGAGTATGACCTAAACTTAGCTGCCTAAGCGTCCAATTTTGTCATTTCTTTGTTCACTGATGATGCGGTGTTTACCAATGACCCTGAGTAGATGAGGCATATGTGGCCGTTGGGGGTATTACAAGTTTCTATTCCAGAAATATTTGCATTGTTCTATGTTTCTAGTTCTAGGAGGCTGTTAGATTCTACCATTATAGAAAATTGAGTTCCGTATACTTTACATGTCACTACAGTCTTTGCCAAAGCAATTGGTTATTTGGTGGCCAAGGACCAATAGCTCAGTTAAATGAAAGCTACGTCCCCTCCCCAAGTGCAACAGTTAGAGACAGTCATCAACACATTTCACCTCTATGAGAACATACGTAGGGAATTGGACAAAGCATCCTGGGCTGTCTGCATCCAACTGCCACCTCTCAGGAAATGAGTGATGTCTTAAACATAACAGCAGAGATTTCTCTGATGCTGGTGATCCATGAAACTGTCCCCTGGTTCTAGTGACTCACACAGGAGTAGTTTGCCATTTGCTGTACTTTTAAAAAAACATTGAGATGAAAGTCCTGCTAAATGACCTCAAGATAATTCCCCCCAAACAACCTCAAAATAATTTTAATCTTAAGGCTAAAAACTTGGAAGGCCTTTAGTCAGAAAGACTTTGGCATCAAGGGGAAAATTAAAGAAACCTATAAGACAGAATCTACAGCCAACCATCTTCAGACTTTCCAGTGGTTTTGTCTCTCATATGATATTTATTTTAAAAATTCATTGTTATTTTATTTTCATAGAGATCTGCATTATCTTCACCCTATCCCACTTTGTGAAAGCAAGAAAAACAAAACCCTTTTACAAACATATATAGTCAGCAAAACAGGTTCTTCCATTGGCCATCCAAAAAACAATGTCTCATTCTACACTCTGATTCCTTCACCTCTCCATCAGGAGGTGGGAAGCTTGTTTCATCAGGCTTCTGGAATTGTGGTTGATGGTTACACTGATCAGAGTTCCTAGATCTTTCAAAGTTATTTGTCTTTACCATATTGCTGTCCTTGTATAAGTCATTCTGATTCTGTTCTCTTCATACTGCATCAGTTGATGTAACTGATCCCAGGTTTCTCTGAAACCATCCCCTTCATCATTTCTTTCAGCACAATAGTATTCCATCACCTCCATATACCATAACTTGTTCAACCATTCCCCACCTGATGGGCATCCCTTCAGTTTCCAATTCTTTGCCATTACAAAAAAAAAAAAAGAGATGCTGTAACTATTTCTGTATGTGTAGGTCCTTTTCCTCTTTCTTTGATCTCTGTGGGGTACAAACCTAGCAGTGATTTTGCTAGATCAAAGAGCATACACAGTTTAACAACTCCTAAGGTGGTATTTAAACAGTTTCCCTCTCCAACCTTGGATCATTTTTGGTAGGCACTGGAAAAATGCTTCTTTCCTGTTATTTAATCATTCCTTCACCATTTAGGAAGCACTGACTGTTTTTGGTGCTGCCACAAACACTCATGTTCTGCGAACACTTTAAGGATTTGCAAAATTCCTTCCTCACAATAACCCTATGAGGTAGAATATACAGGTATCAGTATGCCCACTTTGCAGACAAGGGAACAGAGGTTCTGAGGAGCTAAGGAATCTGCCCACAGCCACAACACCGGCAAGTTTGGGAGACTATCGTCAAACTCCAAATCCAACGTCCTATTTACTAAATTGTGGGGCCTCTCACCTTCCTACTAACTGAGGTGTCTCATGAGATGCTTGTCTTCTGTCATATCACCAGCCTAATAATAATAAAAGTGTTATAAAATAACAATAAAAGTGTTATAAAATAAAAATGTCAGCTGTAAGGTTTTCAAAACAATATGTTATTTCATCTGATCTTCACAACAACTCTGAGGTAGGGTCTACTGATATTATTATCCCCATTCTGCAGATGATAAAACTGGGGCTCAGTGAAGTTCTAAGTGACCTGCCGATGGTTAGGAAGGTGGGATTCCTATGCAGGTCTGTCCTGATTCCAAGTCCGGTACTCTTTCCACTACACCACACCGCCCTTTATGTGATGAGGCTGGTTTGGAGTTTGCCTTTTGCCACCGTCCCATCATCTCCATCAATCTCTTTTCTTGGATAGGCTCTCCAAGGATGTAGATGAGACATGTGTGTAGCTTGATCTGGGTTAAGCAAGATTTGAAGAGGAGCTCTGCTTTTGCACCCACTCCCAAATCAATCGATGAGCAATGGCCGCCTTGGGAGGCAACCAGAAGGGGATGGTGCCATCTTGCTCATTGGAAGGTGGTCCTTTCCTTTTGAGAGCTGTGGCCACCTCTTCTAGGCTGAACCAGCCTGCTGTCTCTAGCTCTTGGGAGTTCACGTGGATCTGAAAGGCACAAGAGAGGAACAAGAAATAAAGACAGATGCTATATAAATTTTTTTTGTGGTAGGAACATGTTTAGGTTCTATTTGCCAGGGCTGTTCTCCAGGCCTGAAACGCACTTCATCATCTTCCTCCAAGTCTTAAAATTACTAGTTTCTTTCAAGACTCAACTCAAGGGCTACTTCCTACATAGGCCTTTCTTGATAATGGAAACCCCTCCCCCCAAAAACCCCCTTACTGTGCATATATCTACATTAATTATCTGTGCATGGGTTGTTTCTCCTATCTCTCCCTCCCTTCCCCCCCCAGTAGAATGTAAGGTCCTTGAAGGCAGGGACCAGTTTCATTTCATTCACATGGAACTTGGAGCGTACTAGCCCCTTGACAAATGCTTACTGAATTAATGAATTTTGTTAGTGCAGGGAACACATGGAAGGAGAAGTCCCATCACTGTGCAGCTCCATGCCCATCTGTGACTTAGTAGATAAAGTCCCATGGGATTGTGCGAGGGGCAAAGTTTAAACAAAACAAAGTTTAAATGATTTGTCCAAGGTCACCCAGCTGATAATCATTCAATAAATCAATACGTATCAGAAGTAGGATTCAACCCCATGTCATTCTGACTGCTACCCTTTGCTGAGGCTGGATTGGAGAACATCAGCTCTTAAATGTTGCCTCTAGCATGGTAAGAAAGGTGAGAAAATGGTTTCCAAACAGGACTTATGGAGAACAGTATCCTGAGTCTGCTGTCTGGTAGGGGCAGATTCAAAGTCCTGCTTGGGAGCAGGACAACCCCAGGGGTCAGGGAACACACAAATGAAGGACATAAAAAATGAGCTCTAATAGCCAGCATACTGAGAGCATCATAGTTTGAAAAGCTCTTTACAAATATTATCTCATTTGATCTTTACAACAACCCCCGGGAGGGCTGCTATTATCCACATTTTACAGATGAGGACGCTGAGGCAGAGAGAGGTTAAGTGACTTGCTTAGGATCCCATAGTTACTTAAGCATCTGATGCTGGATTTAAACTGAAGTCTTTCTCACTCCGGGCTCAGGGCTCTCTCCCCTGTGTAGTGGGATAGTACGGTAGCAGTCCATGGCTTGAGATCTTCTGTCTTCCTTATAAGACGCTCACTAACCTACATGACATTCACACACATCACTCTAGAAACTGAAGCCCAAACATCAGGGTAGCTTTGGCAAGTAGAGACTGGATGACTTCATCTGAGCTGGGCCATGAGAGATGGCTAGGAATTCAATGGGTGAGAGGTGTGTTAGGGACTCGGAAGAAGGGGTTTATATACCAGGTGGCAGTGACTGACTAGAGGACCTCTGGGGCCGCTTTGATTCTAAAAGTCCACGATACTAGGACAAAAACCTCAAACCGAGTCAACAGTGGGAGCCCCATGTCTTGACTTGGCCAGTGAGGTCAGATCTGGTATCAAGGAAAAGAAACAGCATCATGGTTAGAGTGTATAGAGGAGGGAGCCAGGCAGCTAAATGATGGTCTTTTTTTTTCCCTTTTTAAAATTTATTTTTAGTTTTCAACATTCACTTTTATAAGATTTTGAGCTCCAAATTTTTCTCCCTCCTTTTCCTCCTCACTTCCCAAGACAGCATGGAGTCTGACACAGGCTTTATATGTACAATCATATTAAACATATTTCCACATTAGTCTAAATGACTGTCTTTTGGGGATACCTCTATTTGAATCCCCTCCCCCCACTCACATCAGCTGTGTGACCCTGGGCAAGTCACTTAACTTTCTCACCCCTGAGGTATATCATCTGTAAAATGGGCATAATAATAGCACCTACCTCACAGGGTTGTTGTGAGGGACAAACGAGATAATGGGCAAATTTCGAAGTGCTATATAGATGGTAGCTGCTGTTATTTCAAAATCAAACTTCCAAACCTAGTGACTCTCCTAACATTTTTTTTCCTCCAATAAATTGCAAGCTCTTTAAGGGATCACGTATTGTATCTCATCAGGCGTGGTGAATGAACCTGGTAAAAACTTGTCAGCTGACTGACAGGAATTGGTTTTCTGACCAGGAAGTATTCCACCAAGAGAGGCCTGGCAAGGACTCACCTCTGTCTGTCCTGGCCCCACGGTGGCATGACATGCCATCATGAGGGAGCTGTTAGGAAAGGGCCAGTGCTGGGATGCCGAATATTGCAGGCTGTCCACCTCCAGCCCCACCTCTTCAGCCACCTCCCGCCGGACAGCCTCTTCCAGCGTCTCACCTACAAGCACTCAGGTTAGTTTGGGACAGCCCTGCAGTGGGAGGGCGACAGACAGAGGATTCAGCATCGGGACTCCAGCTGTAATCCAGGAGGCATAGCTTGGGTGGAGTTGGGACGCTGAATCGCAGCGCTGGGAGCTGGTGCCTTTGTACCACAGAAGATCTGGAGGGTGGGTGTTGTGTTATGAGGGGTGAGTGATTGTCTTTTGTTTAATACAAAGAATACAGACCAAGAGTCAGCCAGGCCTCTAATGCATCAAGTGCCTGGTATACAATAGGTGTATACTAGGGACTTCTTGACTGATCAGCACATGTGTGCCTGGAGGTTCAAGTATTCAGATGACAAGACAACAAGAAATAACCAGAGAAATGAAATTCCATTCACTTCAGGACTCCTGTGTCTAATGTCTGTGTCTATGGCTCCTTACCCACATCACAGAATCCTGCCAGGGCACTGTACATCCCCTTAGGAAAGGAGCTCTGCCGGGCCAGCAGGCATCGGGTCCTGTCAGACACCAGCGTGATCACCACAGGGGACATCTAGGGAAGAGTCACATATGGCCTGCTTTCCTTCTCCTGGAGAGGAGAGCGTCCCAGCTTCCTGGGCCACCCAGGTCCCCTATACCAATGCTCACCTGCGGGTAATAGATCATGTTACTAGAGGGGCAAATGCGTTTGCTGCCAGCCACATTCTTCTGGGTGGGTTGCCCGCTTTTGCCACAGAACTGATGGCACTCATGCCAACGGAGAAGGGCCTGAGCCTGAGCAAACACAAAAACAGACGTGGTCTCTTGGGAGGGGGTCCATCTTCATTACCCAATCCTGTCTCTCCTGCAATTTCAAGAAGAACATTAAGTCCCTGCCAAATGATTCCTGGCCCCTTTTACTTCTAGAAAATGAGGGGATCACAGAGGTAGAGCCGGAAGGGACCATAGAGACCATCTTGTCCAGACACCTCATTTTTGGGGGGGGGGGTTTGTGGGTTTTTTTTTTACCAGTAAGGAAACTGGGCACCAGAGAGGGTAATTCACCTAAGGCCACACAGGCGATAAGTGTCAGAGTCAGAATTTAAATACAGCTTCTCTGACGCCACTTCAACGTGAAGGAAAAGATCTGATAATGTTCCTCTGACAAAAGTCTGTGATATTTTTTGCATCTAAAAATGTTCTGAAGTCACCAGGTGAGGCTGGTTCTGATTCCTTAGCTGCTAATTTAAGTCTCACCCTCTGTTCAGACTTCCCGTGGAATTGTAGAAGGCAATGCTCAGGCCCTCCGGATGAAGGCATGAATAAGACATTGAGGATCCTTGACTTCCTTTAGTTGGGAGCTCTTTTCACATACAGATACCCCCCACCCCATTTATTAGTTAGTAGCCACCGCTTAGAGAGCTTCCTACAGCTCATGCTGTTTAAGTGACTTATCCAAGATCACACAGCTAGTGAGTGTCAGGGGTGAGACTCAAATCTTCCAGGCTTCTGCTCCAGAACTCCCCTCCCCATGTCTGGCTGCCTCAATAACATGCAAGCGCTTCATGAGTCCAGAACGAAATTCTTGGGGAGTGGTAATTCGTGAGATAATGTGCGCCTTGGTTTTGGGGTGTTTTCTTAGCAAGTAAAGGATCCAGAAGGAGGCTTGCTTATCTGACAGGTCACTGAAATGAGTATAGATGTACATGTTTCTATACCTCTACCTATTATCTATATCTATGTCTCATCTATCTGTTTATCTGTTTGTCTATCTATCTCATCTATATATAGATATACACACACATATACATACATGTGTGGATCTGCATGTGTACACATGTTTATACATATAGTATATATAGGCTTATATAGGTACACACATGTGCATGTGTACACATATGATTGTGCACAAACACACACATACTCATGTATGTGTGAAATGCCCAGTAAGTTTCTGGCTCTCTCTGAGTACACACACACACACACACACACACACACACACACACGCACACATGTACACGTATATGTGTTGCATGTCTATATTCACATACGTTATGTATGTATAAGTGGGCAAGAGTCATTTGGAATGGGGAGTGAGTTGACATTTTTCTCTGAGTTGCTGGAGAGACTGGGCTGAGTAATGTAGATAGATCCCCTCCCATATACATACATATGTATATATGTGTGTATGTATATATGTGTGTATATATACATGAATGTACATATACACGCATATGTGTATATATACACACACATTGATGTTGATGATAGAAAGAAAGAAAGAAAGAAAGAAAGAAAGAAAGAAAGAAAGAAAGAAAGAAAGAAAGAGAAAGAAAGAAAAGAAAGAAAGGAGGAAATCTTTGGGCTCCGCCTGGTCTTCTCACAAGCTCCATGCTGTACAGTAGGGCAAGCGTATCCTGCTGATTTGGGAACTTTTCTGAAATAAATGAATGCTTGCTACCCTATCATCCATACCATCTGTGAACCCTTGCTTCTTGCATGCTGGGATGTGATCAGACCTAGGGCTTTGAAAAATGACTATAGCATCACTTCTTTTAGTTACCTGGGAAATGCACTTAAAAGTAGTTTCCTAAATGGAATTTAGGGGCTGCTAGGTAGCACAGTGCATACATTGCTGGGCCTGGAGTCAGGAAGACTCATCTTCCTGAGTTCAAATTTGGCCTCAGATACTTCCTATCTGTGTGATCCTGGGCAAGTCACTTAACCCTGTTTGCCTCAGTTTCCTGATCTATAAAATAGCTGGAGAAGGAAATGGCAAACCACTCCAGTATCTTTGCCAAGAAAACCTCAAATGGGGTCATGAAAAGTCAGACACAACTAAAAAAAAAAGACTGAACAGCAACAAAAAAAAAATGAGATCTAATGGAAAGAGGAAAAAAACCTGTAGTCAAGAGTGACATTTGCAATATACAGAGGTGGGACAAGTATGTACGCCTGTTTTGTGAACTGTGCTTGAGTTGGTCGTCCTGTGCTACAGGAGACACTTAGTGAGGTTCACAGATTCTATCCTTATGGTTCTTTCTGTCCTTTGGTGAAAATCAGATTTCCTTGACCTGGTGCAAGTCTATTTGGACAGTTTTGCTCTCAAAACCAGATATGTCTGGGGGCAGCTAGGTGGCGCAGTGGACAGAGCACCAGCCTTGGATTTAGGAGGACCTGAGTTCAAATCCGGCCTCAGACACATAACACTTACTAGCTGTGTGACTCTGGGCAAGTCACTTAACCCCCTTGCCTAGCCAAAAAAAAGAAAAGAAAAAAAAACCCAGATATGTCTGCTGGAAAGCCCAGCCCAGTTCAGTCTGCCTTTCTTCTCTAGGGGACAGAATGAGCAATCTCCATGTAGCTCAGACTCTCCTTTTGAAAAGGTTTGTGGAAGGTTGGTCCTCAACCTGCAGGGTAAGAGATCAGACACTGCCTGGCTGCCTCACAAGTACACCCACACATTTCTGCATTGGTACATACATAACTCTACCCAAGCCAAATATGTCCTAGAAAACGGAGACTGCAAGCATCTACCGTGAAGATCAAAGAAGTATCTTTCTCATTCAGCTGGAATAGAGCCTTTCTTAGCTGGATAAAGGAACCCTGGAGCTCAGTTTCCATTTCAGATTTCTGCAAGGAATCTACGAGAAAAAAAAAAGACAAAGGAATGGAATACTTACAAAATATAAGGGCCCCTGACTCTATTCTAACAGAACCTTTCTAAACTGGAAATTAATTTGCTCATATCTTTTGACTCAACCATCCAACAACAATAAGCATTTTATAACATGATGTAAGGCTGGCAAAGCACTTTACAAATATTATCTGTTTATCCTCACAATGACCTCAAAAGGGAGGTGGTCTCATTATCCCCATTTTACAGATGAGGAAACTGAGGCAGAGAAAGGTTAAGTGACTTGCCCAGGGTTACAGGGCTAGCAAAAGTCTCACGTCAAATTTGAACTCAGGTCTTTCTGACTCCAGGGCCAACACTCTATCCATTGTGCCACCTAGCTGCCAATGAATTTATGTAATAATTTCTATGTAATAATAATTTATATAATGAATTGATGTATGAAATATAGGTATACATCTATAATCTATATGTAAAATTATGAGTATATGTGTAAGAGCCCTGCACACAGGAGGTGCTAAATAAATTGAATCCAAAATATACCAAAATAGTCATGGTAGCAACTCTTCATAGTACCACAAAATGGAAAACAAAGTAGTGCCCATCAATTCAATTCAATTCAAACATTTATTAAGCACCCACTGGAACAGAAATACAATGACAAAAATATTTTAATGGAGAGATTTGCCATATATAGAGATATAGAGCCAATACGAAATGGATTTAACACAAAGTACTTTCAGGAGACAGACAGCATTAACCCCTGAGAGAGTGAGGTGACAGGAAGGATTTCATGTAGGAAGTGGCGTTTGTACTATGTCCTGAACGGAGCTAGGAATTCTAAGAAACAGAGGCGAGGAAGAAGAAAATTCCAGACAGGGTGGATTTGGCATGCCACGGACAGGGGAATGGCTGAACAAATTATGGCATGTAAACAATGGACTACTATTGTACTATCAGGAACAATGAATGTGAACAATGCAGAGAAACATGGGAAGAACTATATGAACTGATGCAGAGCAAAGAAAGCAGACTCTAGAACAACATACACAGTATATACTATGATGTAGATGAAGGCAACAGGACCTAGATTGAGTACAGTGATCAACATCGGTTCAAGAAGCCTGATGCTGAACACAGTGCCCTCCTCTTAGAAGAAGATGGTGGATTATGGTCAGTCAGCCAATTAGTCAATAAGCATTTATTAAATGCCTTTTGTGTGCCAAGCACTGTGCTAAATGCTGCACGTGGAATGTGGCACAATCCATCAGTCCTTATATCAGATGGTTTTGCTAACTGTTAATCGACTCTGAATTGATTAACTTCCCTGACCTCAGTTTACTCCTTTGTAAAACGAAAGGGGTGAGTGGACTCGATGGACTTGGAGTTCTCTTCCAGACTTAGATCTATGACTCTGTGAAAGACTCTCGAACACTTAAGAGTTCTGCAGAAGGAGAATGGGCTGGGTTACCCCTCACAATGGATCTCCAAGCAAAGCCTGGACACGTCCTTGCTGGGGAAGTTGTTGAGGGGAGAACTCAGAAGTTCAGGCAGAATTAGATGGTGTCAAAGGCCCCTTCTGACTTTGAGATTCTGTGAGTCAGGGAATGCCTGATGGGAGGCTTTTTGCCTGCATCAAGGTTGCAGGCTGCCCTTAATTCCAGGGCAGCAAGGACCAATGAGTCTCCCTAACCTGAGGAACAAAGGCTTCCCAGACTGAGATCCAGGGCAAACCATGCTTCACGCCGGTCTGAGCAGCCAATCAGGACTGAGCGTTCTATCTTCCGTGTGTCCTGTCCAAACTTGCTCAGGATCCTTTCCAGCTCTAGGAAAACAGAGGGAAAAAAAAGGAGGAAAGAAGAACACGAAGAATAATTAAGCCATCACAACTGCAGGAAGCTAGCAGGAGTTCCATTTCTCAGACCAGCAAAGCATCGTAATTAGGGTGACTGAGTTCTGCCTCTGTCACCAACTGTGTCTTCAGACAGGTCATTTCCTCTCTCACCTTCCATTTTCTCATCTATAAAATGGGGGCAGCAGTTGTACTTGGTAACCTCTAGGGTTCCTCCTCACTAATATTCCATGAATCCATGAAAATAATTTTGATTCTGCTATGGAATCACACAATTCTGTTTCATTTACTGCTGAAAAGGTAGTGGTAGAAAGGGTTGCTACAGAGGGACTCTGGTTCAGGCATGGACTGGATTTGACAATCTCTGAGACTTCTTCTAAATTTGAATCTATAACCTGAATCTACTTTCTTACCTTGGGAAAAAACTGTATCTTTGGCTAACTATTATGCTTTCTCTTGGGGATTTTTAATAGTGGGGAAGGGAATAAAGTTTACTATGTGCCAGGCACGATGCTAAATGTTTTATAAATATGCTCTCATTTGATCCTTACAACAACCCTGGAGGTAGGTGCTATTATTATCCCCATTTTACATGTGAGGAAACTGAGGCAGACAGCCCAGGGTCACAAAGCTAGTAGGTACCTGAGGTGGGATTTGAATTCAGTCACTCTAGGCCTCTGTTCACTCCACCACTAGCTGCCTTGGTTGCAAAAGATAATATTGCTTTCAACATCCCATTCATATGCCTAACGTGGAGTCACCAACTCGTTTCTCTAACGGCCTAGGATAGCAGTTCTCAAACTTTTTAGTCTCAGGACCCCTTTATACTCTTAAAAATTATTTTTAATAGTATTTCATTTTTCCAATTATATGTAAAGACAATTTTTAATATTCATTTTTACAAAATTTTGAGTTCCAAATTTTTCTCCTTCCCTCTCTCCCCTCTTCTCTTCCTAAAACAATAAGCAATTTGATATAGGTTTTATATATATATGCAATCATGTAGAACATATTTCTATATTAGTCATGTTGTGAAAGAACTCTTAAAAATTATTAAGCCCCCTACCCAGAAAGCTTCTGTTTCTGTGGGTTGTATCTATTAATATTTGCTATATTAGATGTTAAAACATCTTGGTATTATTATCAAAATAATGCAAACCCCCTGAAAGGATCTTGGGGACACCCATGGGTTCTTGGACCACACTGTGAGAACTAGGGGCCTTAGAAATAAGGTCTCTTGGAGAAGTGCAAAGAGAGAAGGATTTGGAATCAGAACACCTGGGCTGGAACCTGAGTCTGGCATTTCCTAGCTGTGTGACCTTGGGCCGCTCACTCCCCCTCTCCAGACCTTAACTTCTCCATTTCTCAAAGGAGGGGGCTGGATTAGCTGTTCTCTGAAGTCCCTCCCAACTCTAATCTTATGATCCCACAAATCACAAAATCTGGCCTGCAGATCTCATCACCTCTGGAAGCCACATAAGGGGAGTGGCTCCCCTGAGGCCCTGACCAGCACAAGCCCAGTACTGCATGCAGGGAGACCACCCTTCAGTGCCTGGGGACTCACCCTTCACTGCTTGGTGCTAGGTCTCAGCACAGAGTCTGATGCCTTTCTACCAATCTCTCCTATTTTCCCCTGTTAAAAACAGCGCTATCCACCACTCCCTAATATCTGGGACCCCACTATTTCAATGTATACACTGGTAGGTGTCAGATACTCATATATACCCATATTATACAAGCTTGCAAATTTCAGGCTAAATAGGAGGATTCCCAGCCCTGATTGTGTAAGATCTCATGCTTTCTCCCTACATAAAAACATCTTGTGTATACACACACACACACACACACACACACACACACACACACACACACACACACACACACACATAACCTTCCTATGTCTGGGCACTTGGTACTTTGCCCTATTGTTTACATAGGGCAAAAGAAGGCTTTGGGACTAACTATAATGGAGGTCCTGGAAGTTTTTTCCTAAGGGACCTGATGGAAATGGATAGACATCCCTGGATATAGGAGTTCTGAGAGTGAAGGTCCAGGGAAAGGGAATAAATCCCTTTCACACAAATGGCACATTTTCCCTCTCAAAAAATAAAATTCATATCATTTCACATTAAAAAAAATGCAGATCACACTGACTTATCTAAGAGGAGGAGGGGAAATAGGAGATGAGTGGATGGGAACCAATAGTCTTGGAACCTCATCATTGTTAATTAACTTTGACCAAGGACCCCATTAGGTATGTAAAACACAATCATTAATATCAATTAATTAATTAATTAACTAACAGGTATTTATTAAGTGCCTACTGTGTGCCAGGCATTGTGCTGGTCCTGAGAACATGAAGACAAAAAATGAAACACTTCTTGCCTTCAAGAAGTTTATATTCTTTTGGGGAAAACAACATCACACAATCGTTAGGGGTGGAATGAACCTTCACAAGCCCACAGCTTAGAGGTCCCTCTGGTTCAGTTTTTTCAGAAATCCACAAAGGTTCAGCATTGGCTGGCATTCCACTTAATGACAGGGTGTTCAGACTTGTGGCCAGCTTGGGTCCCTTTAGGCTTACCTGAAGCTCTAAATGGAGGGGCCAGGTATCTGTTCCCAGACATCTGTAGTAAAGGAGCCAGGCTATGGAAAAGGTAAAATATTCCTGAACTCTGGGCTTTTCGACATACATCATCATCTTCTTTAAGTTCAAACAGGTACCTGTCATTGGGACAGAGATGAGTCATTATAGGACCTAACCCAGCTCTCCTCAGAGTCTCTAGTCATGACAATGATTCTTCTGGTCATCAGATGGCTAATATCTATGAAGGTCATGTTTCAAGGCATATCCCTAAGGCAGTTTCAGGATGCTTCAGGGAGCAGAAGAGAGAAGGGAACACATATGGTTTGTGGCAGCAGCTGTACGGCAGATTTCAAAGCAGAGAGGTGAGGGTCAGTACAGTACTACTCACTCTGGAGATGTGCCAACCAGAAGCAAATACCATGCGTTCAGTAGCAGCCGACCTTGGGCAGATGATTAATAAATTTTCATCCGCTTGGAGAAAACAGAGCCAGAGAGGAACTTAGAAGGGAACACAGGGCAAACACACCCTTTGTGGTGGCCTAATTTTTTTGTTTCTACTTTATTGAGGGCTAAAGGTTGAATGTAAGATTGAATTTCTTCTTCAGCCTATTTATTTGCTTATTTGTCTACTTCATGGGCTGCCCTGGCCAAAGAGTTCTTCCAGTGGCCAGCCTAATTTTGATGAGTCTTTCTGTACTGAGCTAGGCTGGAACCCTATTCAAACACTCTCCACCCCATAGAATCTGCCATGATACATACTCTACTGGCCCAGCCTTTCCATTAAATCTGATGAATTATTTAGTAAGTGCTTCTATGTGCAAGATATTGGGCTAAGTGCTGAAGATACAATGATGAAGGAAAGAGAGAGAGAAAGAGAGAGGTGGGGAGAGTGAGGGAAGGACAGAAAGAAAGAGGGAGAGAAGCAGAGAGAGAAAGGAAGGAAGAAAAGAGGGGAGGAAGAAAGGAAGGAGGGAAAGAAACAAGTAAAAAAGGAAGGAAAAGAAGGAAGGTAGGAATGAAGGAAGGAAAAAAGGAAGGAAGGAAAGAAGGAAGAAAAGAAAAAGGAGAAAGAAAAGGAAGAGAGGAAAGAAGGGAGGGAGCCCCAGCCCTTAAGAAACTTATATTCTAAGGATACAATATGTTTACAAGAAATAAAAAGTACTTTCAAGAGCCAGAAAGTGCTTCTAGTCGGGGAGCTCAGGGATGGTGGCTCCAGAACTACCTTTGAAGGAAGCAAGGAATTCTAAGAGGCAAAACTGAAAATGATGGGATCACAGGTCCAGATCCCCAAGGGACCTTAGAGGTCATCTAGTCCAACCTCCTTATTTGCAGATAAGGAAACCGAGACCCAGAGACGTTTAGTGAGCATTGGACTTGGAGTCTGGAAGACCCAAGTGTGAATCTTACTGGGCAAGTCATTCAGCTTTTCCAAGCCACAGTGTCCCCATTTTACAGACGAGGAAGGAAGTCGAGAGGTCCAGAGAGGTTAGGTGACTTGCCCAAAGTCGCACAAGTAGTAAGTGGCAGGAACAGATCCTATGACTACAAATCCGCTTCTGTATCACAAACCAGAGAACTCAGGGGAAGAACTTGGGCCCCTCTCATGAGATTATTAATTCCTTGCCTTCTATTTCAGCACATTTGGGAGGGAAAGGTACCTATAATAGGCCCACTAAAAAGGCCAATATTTTAATAACCCATATGAAAAAAGTCAGCATCTTATAAAATGGTTTCACTAAGTAAGGGAGTACTAGGACATATTTTTCGGACATGACCAATGTGGGGATTTTTTTGGGTTGACTCTGCATACTGGTTACAAAGGTTTTGTTTTTCTTTTTTCTTTTTCTAATTGTGTGGGTAAGCGGGGTGGAAATAGGAGGCAGAGAAACAGCTTTTTGTTAATTGAAACAAATAAAATTAAATTTAGAAAAAAGAAAAGAGAGTTCAAAGCAAGCTGGCCAGGATCTTCTCTCCTCTCTTTCAAATGGCTCACTCTGTCACTTCTAAGACCATGTGAAACAGAGAGGACTTCAGTAATCCTTTCTTTCACCTTCCCAGGCTTCGGGGTAGCTGTTTCAGTCTATGCTAAGCCCTACTCAGACTGAGAGTTCTAAGTCAGACCCAGAACTCACTGACCTGGGGGAACATTCCCTGCCAAAAATTCCAGTCAAATGGACAATCAGCCCTCAGGTGTGCATTGAAAAGGCCAGGCCACTTTTGGAACACAAGGAGGTAGCTCCAGCCCAGTATCGAGTTCCAGCCCAGGAGTCTGTTTGGGACCTTTTAAGAGAAGAGGGGTTACTACAATGAGCTCTTTATAGGAGACAAAAGACCACGCTAGAATTTCAGTCCCCCAGTGTTCCAAACACTCCCTGGGACCAGGTGCTGCTCTCTGAGCCAAGCACCCAGCGGTATGTCAAAGGAGAAAACACTCATCTCACTCAGGGCTTTCCAAATATAAATAGTGACTAGGAGGCTGATAGCCTGGAGCAAAGATTAGCTCCCTTTCAAAGGAAGGGTGAAGGTGGTGTAATCCTGCTTGCCCTGGTGACCCTTATATTAACACAAAACAACCAGGCTGACACCTCAGGAGAAGGGGGAGTCTGGAGGGTGGTTCTGGAGTTCCCCAGTATCCCTTTAAGAGCAGCACCTTTAGCTCACAAAGTTTCTTTACAACTTGTGAGCACTACCGTTCAAATTTAGTGGCAGGAGGAATTTTGGTTTTTGTCAATTCAGCAATTCCAAATATTTATCGAATGACTACTCAGGGAAAGGCGCTTTTTGAGACACAGGGCTCAACAGAACACAAGGCACCATAAGGAAACTAGTGGGCAGAAAGTTAGACTTGGAGTCAGGGAGACCTGAGTTCAAATCCTGCCCTGGACTAACTGTATAGTCTTGGTCAAGTCATTTACCCTCAATTGCCTCACATGTAAAATGAGGGTGATAATAGCACCTACCTCACAGGGTTGCTATGAGAATCAAATGAGATAAAATGTGCGAGGCACTTTATAAAGCTTAACATGCTATATAAACGTTAGCTATTATTACACAGTAGTCATTAAGACACTGTCACTACTTTCAGGGAAAACCATTTGGGGTTTTCTTGGCAAAGATACTGGAGTAGTTTGCCATTTCCTTCTCCAGCTCATTTTACAGATGAGGAAACAGAGGCAAATAGGGTTAAGTGACTTGCCCAGGGTCACACAGCTAGTCAGTGTCTAAGGCTGCATTTGAACTCAGGTCTCCCTGACTTGAGGGCCGGGGCTCTGCATGCTCCCTCCCTTCCTCCCACTTCTATTTTCCCTCACCCACTCTATATTGCAGCCACACTAGCCTCCTTGTTGTTCTCCATACACAACATTCCACAACCCTCTTCAATGCACTATATTTGGGATGACTTCCCTCCTCCCCACCACCTCTTGGAATCCCTCCCTGTTCTTCAAAGTGCTGTCTCTCTTCCACATGAGGTCATTCTTAATCTTTGTGGTTGTTAGGGCTCTCCTTGCCACTCCCCCTTCTCGAAACAAATGTCTCTGCATTTACTTTGGATGTTTTTTATTTCATCATCTGTGTGCAAGTCATATTGGCCACCCCCTCCCCCAGGGAGACAAAAAGAAGGTCCTTGAAGGAAGGGACAAGTCCTTCCACCTTTGTCTTTGGATCTCCAGGGTGCAGCAAAGGGCTCTGAACAAAGGAGTATAATTGAAGGAATAAGTGAGGACACAAAAAATCAGCTCCTACAGCAGATAATAAACTGTCATATTAAAAGCACAGATAATTAATTAAATTAAATTAAGTTAAAAATAAATAATTAAATCACAGGACACAATTGCCATTGAGACCTAAATAGCTCCCCAACCTCCTCATTTTGCTTCAGGGTTCAGCTCCCCAGTGGTCACCTATTCTGTGAAGCCTTCCTTGATTTCTCCTAATTTCTTTGAACTTATTGCCAGCCTGCCCCCACCCCCAAAGAGCATAAGCCACTTGAGGACAGTTATTTTTATCAAATTTTTTTTTTGCTCATTTTTTTGCTTCTCAAAATGCCTACATGTAGGAGCTTGGAAATAAACCTTTGTGGAACTGAACCAGCCTCAGGCGCAGGTCCCATCCCTACGTGCTGAGCACTATATTTATGAAGATGAAATGGAGTAACCTTTGCAAGAGTCACAGATTTAGGGACAGAAGGGATAGTCTCCAGTCTAAAACCTTTCTTTTCACAGATGAAGAAATAGATGGCAAGAGAAATTAAATGATTCTTCTCAAGCCATGCAGGGAGTAAATGACAGAGTTTTTGAAGCCAGGTTCTCTCTCTGCAAATCTCAGGTTCTTTCTACTGTACCACTGTACCATTGGTACTGTAATTAGGGGGAGGAGCAAGAGATAAAATGCACATAAATAAATAAACATGACTTATTGTTATTAGCAAACTTAGCACTTTGCTCTAGGATAAGCAGGGAATGTTTTTTTCTTGGTCTTATGCCAATGGAAATACACCAATGGGGCCCCAAGCAGGAAAAAAGCAAAGCCAGGGATGCAGACATGCTTACCGCATCTTGGTGACATAGGTGGAGACCTGTCTGCATGCCTGCAGTGCTTTCCGGGAAGCCAATCGCCAGAACAGAGACAGAGACATCACCAAGTCCTTGAGGTGAGAAGGAAAGGCGCTGCATGCAACAGAAAGAAATGAACCTTCAGGAACGAGGCTGGACTCTCAGCAACAACAAGGGACCAGTGTACCTTTGAACCATCAGGAGAGACCCAGTGCATCCCATAAAGAGGGGAATTCGTCCTGGGCATACTTCTAGAGCTTGGCTACTTTGAAACTCAATTTGTATATCCCACTAGAATGTCATATTCTTTACACCAGGCTAACAATCAAATTCCTCTGCACTTCCTATTGGTAGAAATTGCATTTTTCATTTCAGTTAAACAAATATTTATTAAGCAGCTACTGTGTGCAAGATTTCTTGCTCAGTGATGGGATATTTTGCAGGGAGGGAGAAGGAGATTGCTTTGGATCTTTGATTTCTTCTTTGTGGGAACTACCGGTGTGGAAACTTCCCCTGCAGATTCAGATCAATATCTCTATAACTTAATAATTTTAAAGAGTTACCTGGGGTACTGAGAAGTGATTTGCCCATGGTTGAGTACTTACTATGTGTCAGAAGTAGGATCTGAACCCGGGTCCTAAAGACTCCAAGACTGGCCTTGTAGCTAGAGGACTCTGCCATGTTGCCTCTTAGAAGCTTGGATACAAAAATAAATAATGAAACAATCCTTTTCTTCAATGGGTTTGCAGTTTAATTAGGAGAGGGCTACAATAGGTACAATAAGATAGAATGTCTCTGTTTTTCCACCTGAATGATCTTCTGTGGATACCTTTTGCCTACTGTATAAAATACAAACTCCTTAGCCTTGTGTCATGAGCTGGGTCTAGCTCAGATGAGTCTCTTGTTTGAGACTGGAATGAAATGAGACCATCATAGTCCATCTAACAGCGAACAAAAGGAGATTTACTTAGCCATAGCAGGGGAAGGATATTTAACATGGATGGTCATTGAATGAAGAACCCGTGCTGGTTCAGTAGGGTATAGCTCCTCTGCCTCCGAGTTGCCCATGGTGGTCCACAGGGCAGGCACTGCAGAAGAACTCCAGCTCTTCCTGAACTTTCTGTATGTAGGCAGTAGGGAATCAAAGTCAATGGCCTGAGTCTTTAGTCCTTTGGGCCAGATCAATCTTGAGGACTGTCTCAATACCTCTCAAGGATGAGAACTAATCCAGCCCATGTAGTAGAGGACTATGGTAGACATTCTTCCTATGACATCTATCATTCAAGGCTCTTTACCATCTAGCCTCCAACGACCTTTCCAGCATTACTATTGTGCATGGATCCCATGTTCCATCCAAATGAGGCTGCTTGCTCTTCAACCCATCTCACCCTTCCCTCTTTCTACACTGGTGCATTTGTACAGACCAATTCCCATGCCTATATTCTTCCTCATTTCCTCTGCTGAAGTCTCCTTCCTTTCTTTCCTTCCTTCCTCTTTCTTTCCTTCCTTCCTTCCTTCCTTCCTTCCTTCCTTCCTTCCTTCCTTCCTTCCTTCCTTTCCTTCCTTCTTCTTTCTTCTTTCTTTCTTTCTTTCTTTCTTTCTTTCTTTCTTTCTTTCTTTCTTTCTTTCTTTCTTTCTTTCTTTCTTTTTCCTTCTTTCTTTTTCCTTCTTTCTTTCTTTTTCCTTCTTTCTTTCTGCAATTGGGGTTAAGTGACTTGCCCAGGGTCACACAGCTAGTAAGTGTCAAGTGTTTGGTCTGAGGCTGGATTTGAGCTCAGGTCCTCCTAACTTCAGGGCCAGTACTCTATCCACTGTGCCACCTAGCTGCCCCAGAAATCTTCTTTCAAGGCACAGCTTGGGTGCCATCTCTCCCATGAAGCCTTTATTGATCTTTCTAGCTGCTTTAGGAAAAGAGCTGCAAAAAGGATGGATAATGTATTGTTTGGATTTTTTCTTTGCCACATCTCTATGGTTTTCATTTGTATCCACATCTTATGTCCCACTTTCCTACCTTTCCCCTGTTCCCATTATATCCTAAGAGCCTTGAAGGCAGGGACTACTTTGTTGTACATCTTTGTAACCTCAGCCTATAGTGCAAAGTAGCCTTGCACATAGTAGGTGCTTATTTACTTCTCATCAAATTGAATTGAAAGTTAGCACTCCCTGAAGGCCACAGAAATGAATTGTGGTTATCCTGGATATCATGGAACATATCCACAAAGCTGTGTAGCTCTGTATTAGAGCTGGTGCCTTCAGGATAGTGGTAATACCCAATAGAATTTAAGCAAATGAAATGGTGGAGCCAGGTGAGAAAGAAGCCTGGACAGTCTTCCAAGGGAAAGAACCTAAGATGCCCAAATATACCAAATCCACTAAAAATCACCCAAGACTCCTCTTAGAAGAAAGTAGGAAGGGCTGCCTAAATTCAGAAATATAAAACACAAAGTTGCCTCTAGGTTAGTCAAAAAGGACCATTAAAACAATATGCAGGATTTCATAAAAGCTCTTCATCTCCACAACGGTCCCATCCTATGGATCTCCAAGCACTTCTGCAGTTTGGGAACTGTTTCTCTAGAAAGGAGGCATCTGATGTCAGTCAGCATTTTCTACTCTTTGAGCTCTAGGTCTGTCTACCGTGTTTATCGACTTGCCACAGAAAAAGTCAGAAGTCTCCCTGAAGCAGCAACATGTAAAAAGAACAGAGCTTTATGCAAGAGTCGCCACTCTCAAATGAACCCCTGAAGCATCTTGGAAGGCTAGTCCAGAAATTTGGTTATGCATTGCTGAATCATCAATGACTAGATTTGAGTTACCTACTTAGGATATCCTTAAAATTAAACCATATAAAGCTAAGGCAGCTAGGTGGCACAGTGGATAAAAGTGCCAGGCTTAGAATTAGGAAGACTTGAGTTCAAATTTGATCTTAGACACTTCCTAACTGTGTGACCCTGGGCAAGTCAGTTAAGCTCTGTCTGTCTCATTTTCCTCATCTATAAAATAGGGATAACAATAGCACCTACCCCTCCCTCCAGCATTGCTGTGATGATAAAATGAGATAATATTTGTAAAGTATTTTGTGAACCCTAAAGTGCTGTATAAATATTAGCTAACATAAAAATATAGCTTGGAAATGTCAAAGGTGAGATTTGAACTCAGGTCTCTGATGACATCAAGTCCCCTACTCTTTCCACTAAAGCTATGGATGCTTATTGGATAGGTCTGGAAGGAACCTGAGGGGTCAGCTAGCCCAGCCCCTTCCATTTTATAGATCAGGAAACTCAAGCCCAGAAAAGCTCATTGGCTTGTCCATAGAACTCAAGCCTCCTAACTCCAAAATCAGGCACTTTTCACTCTCTCACGATACCTCCTCATAAAGGCACAAACTGTTATGGATACACAGCTATGTAAGGCATGGTCCCTGCCCTCAAGGAATTTACCAGCTAGTAAAGTGCCATCTATATGGCACTTACTATGGGCCAGGCATGGCACTACATGATTTACAGATATCTCATTTAATACTCACAACAACCCTGGGAGGGAGATGCTTATTAATATCCCCATTTTACAGGTGAGGAAATTAAGGCAAAAAGAGGTTAAACAGAGGTTACAGCTATGAGTGCTGCAAATTAAACATTATGGGGAGATACCATCAAGAAAGAGGTACAGCCTCTATCTAGAAAGCTGCTTCCTCCCCTCTCTGCCATTCATATAATGCCCCAGCAGAGCTGGGGTCTAAATTTCAGCCTTCCAAACAAACTCTGCAAACAGTCCTTCTCTATCCACTGCTCCCCAGAAATACCTTCATCTACTCCTTGGGGAGCAGTGAGGCTCCTTTAGGAGAACCCTGAATACTACAAGGGCTATCTTTCTTGGTGACACTTTCCTGGTCATCTGTGGGGCAATGCCGTGGGATTTTTCTAGCTTATGGCCTGTTGATGTCTAGTTCCTAATACCAAGAAAACATCAGCCACTCATGGCTTAGTTACAGGTTGCTGACTCATGGGTTCATTATAGAATTGTTGGGCAAGGGAAGGCAGCCAACCGTTTAATGTGGCTTTGAAATTAAAAGACACAGAAAATGAAGGCTTAAACCAGAGTCTTTCTATAGAAAACTAGAGAGCATATTAGGACCTCTGTGAAACTGTTAGATCTCACATAAAAAGGAGCTGAAAAGGGGGAGGGAGAGAGGAGGAGGAGAAGGTGCCCTCATGGGGGGGAGAGGGGAGTACATGGCCAGGAGGACATCCAGCAGAGTAATGAAGACATGGCAGGCCTAGGCCTCCTCCTTAAAATGAAGATTCTGGGAGGACCCAGCCCATCTGAAGGAAAGGCCATAGAGAAGAGCTTAGGTAGAGAGCATTGAATTCTCCTTCTAAACAGTACTTATATATTTTTGGTATGAAATGAAACATTTGCCTCAAAATGTTTTATTGAACATTTAGATGATATCCATAAAATTATAGTTTTTTTAAAACACCATTTACTACTACCACTATTACTCCTCCTCCTCCTCCTCCTCCTACTACCCTATCTACCATTTATATAGCCCTACCATTTGTCAGACACTGTGCTAAGCACTTTACAATTATTATCTCACTCAATCCTCATAACAACCCTAGAAGGTAAGTGCTATTATTATCCCCATTTTACAGATAAGGACAATAAAAGCTGTAACTAGGGGAGGCAATTAAGGCTTTGCTCCAAGGCACTGAAATTTAAAGGATGCGGAGAGACCTGGACCTCCCTTAGCAAACACAACAAACTGAGCTTAACATCTAGTTTGCAAGAATGACTAGATAAAATAGGAAACTAGGTTGGCCGAAAATAGGATGGTGGTCTGGGTTTCCTTCCACCAGCCCTTTAAAGTCTTAAGAAGTGAATTTGAGGGCTCCTTTCATGATGTTTGCCCCCAGGATATGTTTTGTGGCATTTGCCCTGTGTAAAAAGTGTGAGTTATGGCTCTGATGACAGAATGTTACCATAATAGGGGCATCCTGGTATAATAGGAAGAATGTTAGAGAAGGGGAGGCCTGGATTTGAATCCTGCTTCTCATACTCATTAGCTGTATAGCCTTGGGCAAGACACTTCACATCTGAACCTCAGTTTCCTCACATGCAAAATAACTGTAAATAAAATATAAAATAACTATAGTTTATAGGGATAAAAATAACTATAGTACATTGTTCACAGAGTTATGAGGATCAGATAAGGAGCTGTGAGGAACCATTTTGATCATTTCACCCCAGGCTGCACTGCTTAGTCTCTGGACTAAGAGACTCACGTTGTAGAAACTTTTTTTTTTTTGAGGCAATAGGGTTAAGTCACTTTCCCAGGGTCACACATGTAGCATTTGAACTCAGGTCCTTCTGATTCCAGGGCCAGTGCTCTATCTATTGATTTCTGACTGTGTGCACTGCTCTGTGACGATGCCATAAAACTTATGGTTTGGTCATACCGGGACGGTCCTCATTTTCACATGAGCACTGAGAGGTAGTGCTGGTGCTCTCTCTGTCCCTAGGCTTTCCTGGCCTCAGGAACAAGTGTTCACTGGCCTGGTAAACAGGCGGGGGTGCTCACTGCCACCTGCTCAAACACCACCTTAGGAACACAGCGGTTGTTTTTGTTTGACCTCATGGTCAAATCATTAACAGCATTTTACTCCTGACCCTGCACTGAGGTTGAAGGTTCGTTTATCACGAAAATACTTCAGAAAGGAAAAACCAAACCATCCTTAGCATTACATTATTTTGCTGCAGCTGACAGATCAACAGAAGTCTGGATTCTGTTTTCTTTTAAGTGCAAATGTTTGGGTCTGTTTGTATCAAAGCGAGGCAGAGGCGAAGAAGAATGAGCATTGGACTAGATATCAAAAGGCTGTTTTTGGCTCTTCCATTAACTTGCTGTGTCATAGCAATAGTGAGCATTTATCTAATGCCTTAAAAGTTTGCAAATTTATCTCCTGTGATCCTCACAACCACCCTGGGATGTAGGTGCTATTATTCTCCCCATTTGACAGATGAGGAAACTGAGGCAGACAGTGGTTAGGTACCTTGCCCAGGGTCGCCCATCATTCTAGTAAGTGTCTGAGGCTGGTTTTGAACTCAGATCTTCCTGAACAACCTTAAGCAAATCATTTAATTTCTCTGAGCCTTCCTATCCTCCTTTATAAAACAGGGATCCTACTTTTATAAGTATCGTGCCTCACTTAAATCCAATTCATACATGGATCAAGATATCACCACATGATGACATTGGTCCTCTTCAAAAATGAAGGACAAGCAGCAACAGCAACCCATCCTGCCCTTCTCGCGGGATTGCTGTGAGAAGATCCATTGAGATCATGGATGGCAAAGCTCTCTTTGCATTAAAAAAACCAAAAAGTCTGATCATCTCCAAAGGCACATACCCCGTCAAGCTGTTTCCCGAATTCTCCACAGCATAGAGTTCCCAAATACCATCATGTCCATCCTGAAAAATGTCAACAGCAGGACGTGGAGAAGAACCAGCATGAGGTAATGGACAGAGGGCAGGGCATGGAGTCATGAAGAGCCGACTTCAAATCCTCCCTTTAATGCATACTAGCTAGGCGACCGTCGACGAGTCGTTCAGTCTGCTAGGGCCTCCGGAAACTCTCTAAAGGCCCTAAGTTACAAATCGCCAATCTTCATTCATGGAAGGAGTTTTCTACATAAGGAGTTAGTTCCCCATAGTAATGTAATCACAGGTGTGGACTGGGGAGGGGCTGAAATTACAGATATGTAAAGGTCTGAACCAGCAACTTGCCAAATCTTATAATGGTAAAGGACCTTAGAGAGAAGCCAGTCCAAACTCCTCACTTTACACACGTGAAACTGAAGCCTGGGGTGTGTGTGTGTGTGTGTGTGTGTGTGTGTGTGTGGAATTATCATATCACATCATATCATATCATATTATATATTTCACAGCATATCACATATCATATCATATCATCAGCATTAATTAATGCTTTAAGGTTTTCAAAGTCTCTTCCTTTACAACAAACTGGGGGTATGATGGAAATAGAAGTGGGAGTCAGCTAATACCTGGTTCTAGATCCTGTTTCCAATCAAATGAGATAACAAGTCAAGGAGCATCTATTAAGCACCTCTTATGTGCTAAGTAAGCCCTGTGGTAAGTGTCGGGGATACAAAGAACGGCCAAAACAAAGCAGCTTACATATGTAAAACGCCGGGTAAAGTTTAAAAACACTTTACTAATGCTAGTAGTTATTACCATCATTATGATTGTCTGTTACTACTGATGGGCATAATAGTAACACCCAGCTCACAGGCTGATGTGAGTCAGTCGATACTTATTAGATGCCTACTGCATGCCAGGCCCTGTACAAAGTACTAAGCATACAAAGAAAGGTGAGGCCTCAAGGAGCTCACAGTCTAATGGGGGAGACAACAAGCAACTTCCAGGATAAATTGGAGACAATCATCAGAAAGAAGGCGGTACAATTAAGGGAAGATGGGTAAGGCTTCCTGGAGAAGGTGGGATTTGAGCCAGGCTTTGAAGGAAGCCAAGGAATAATATCGATAAAGTACACTGCCAACCTAAAAGCCCCGTAGAAGATGTCAGCTGTTATTCTCAGGTGGCCCATATTATCATTATCCTCATTTTACAGAGGAGGAAACTGAGGCCCCAAGAGAACTTAAGTGACCTCCTTGAGGTCGTGGAGTTAGTGTCAGAACTGGGTGGGTCTTGCCCTGGGGTCTTTCCATTCTGAGCACCCTGTATCAAATCCTTTGGATGCCAGTCCTAAGGATGTGGCATAAAACCACAAATCCCTGCTTCCTTTTTTTGTCTCCTGACCCATCGTCCCTCTTCACATCCTCCATACTGCAGCCAAATCAAGTGGACTGCTTGTTACTGTGTATGCCCACTTTCCCGTGCCCATTACCTGGGCACTTCTCATCTCCATCTGCCACAAATCCTTCCCCCCCTTCAAAATTCTGCTCAGGCAAAGCCTTTTCTGATGCCCCCAGTTGTTAATGCTCTGGTCCTCAAAATTCCTTCTAAGGACTTAACTGGGTACGCATGTCATTGTCCCAGGACAAGGTAATCTCCCCAAGGGCAGAGGAGCCTTCATCTTTGTCTCTGTAACCCCAGCACCTAGCCCAGTGCCTGGCACACAATGACAGATGCTGAATGGAGCAGAAATGAGGTCGGTGTGTTTTTTGTGGCCCAAATAAAATGTTCCTGGGCCAGGAGGTTTTTCTTAACTGTGATTTTCTTCCAACAAAGCAGCGATCCTATAATTCATTCCCGAACTCTTGGAGCCTAAGTAGAGAGTGGCTACTGTGGAAAATGAAAGCCATGTCCCAGGGCCTCATTATGTGTGGACAAACAGATCTTCATTCCTTACACTAAATATGGTCAGCTGGAGGGCCTATTTTTCTTTTCAACCATTGGACCTCTGCTTCCTCATCTATAAAAATCAGCAGGGTAGACTAGATGTTTTATTAAGTTTTTTTTTTTTCAGATCTGACATTCTGTGATTCTATGAAATTTCATAGGACAAGTGCTAAAAACATCCTGAAATACCACTAGTAAAAAAAGATGACATTTATGTAGGACTTTACAGTTTACAAAGCACTATATGTACACACACACACACACACACACACACACACACACACACTCAATCTAGTCACTCTTTGTGACCCCATTTGGGGTTTTATTGGCAGAGAAACTGGAATGGTCTGCCATTTCCTTCTCCAGCTCATTTTACAGCTGAGGAAACTGAGGCCAACAAGGTTAAGTGACTTGCCTAGGGTGACATAGCTAGTATTTGAGGCCAGATTTGTATTTAGGGAGATGAGTCTTCCTGACTCCAGGCCCAGAACTACACACATACACACACACACACACACACACACACACACATCTGTGTATATAATCTCATAATAATAACTAGCATTTACATATCTCTTTACAATTTGCAGAGTGCTTTACAAATATTATTTGGTCTTCACAACCACTTTAGGATATAGGTGCTAATATTATCCTCATTTTACAGATGGGGAAACTGAAGCAGAAAGCAATTAATGACTTGCCCGGAGTCACACAGCTAGTGTCTGAGGCAATACTCAAATTCAGACTTCCTAACCCCAGATCAGCTGCCCTGATAACAGTCCTTTGAGGTTGGCAGTACAGATATTATCTCCATTTTATAGGTGGGGTATGATAAAGAGTGGATCCCTTGGTATCTGAAAGGCCTTGGTTGAAGTCCCATCTCTGATTCATTTACCATATGGGCAAACAGTTGAACTTCTGGTTGGAATCTCATGAATGCCATAAGTTATAGAGTTTCCCTACACAGATGAAATTACAAATCTGGACTCCCTTCTGCTACCCCCCCAAAAAAAACCCAGCCAGATGAGGAAACAATTATAGAAAGAATTAATGACTATCCTAAGCTAGAAAGAGACTTCAGATATGATATGCACCAGCAAACAAAAAGTTGACCCACAGTAATTAATTTATAGTTCCTAGAGATACTGTTGGGGTAGCTAGATGGTGCAGTGGATAGAGCACCAGGCTCAGGGAAGACCTGAGTTCAAATCCAGCCTCAGACACTTATTAGCTGTGTGTGACCCTGGGCAAGTCACTTAATTCTGTTTGCCTCAGTTTCCTCATCTATAAAATGAGCTGGAGAAGAAAATGGCAAACCACTCTAGGCTTTTTGCTGAGGAAACCTCAAATAGGGTCACGAAGAGTCAGACATGACTGAACAAAAAAAAAAGATACTGAAATTCAAATTCTCTTGCTCTAGGAAAATGAAATGAATAAAAACTGATAAAAAAAAATTAAAACAATTAGGAGAGGCAGCATGGTATAATGGAAACAGTATTGGCTTTGGTTTCAAAGTATAAACTTAACCTCTCTGGGCCTTAAATTTCCTCACTGGTAAAATGAGGGAGTCAGCCTAGCTAGCCTCTAGGGTCACTTCCAGCTGTATGTCCTAAGAGTCAAGTTCATGAACAAAAGTGCCCTTTGAGGCCCTTCGGGGCTGGGCAAAAGTGGCTAGAACAGTGAAATGTTGTGACCAAGGACATTTCCAGTTATAAATTCAGCAACAAATACTGTCTCCTTGCTGCAAAACCATTCCCGGCAGGCCTGGAGACCTGCACGTGCCTCGGTTTACCTGTACTCACTGTCCTTTTAGTACTGCAGGGAGGACACCCCAGCCTCAGGAATCAGCAGGCAGCTGGAAACCCCCGGGAGCCCACGCACTGTGGGAAAGCCTAGGAAGTTAGTTTTCCTTGAAACTGGCTGATTGTATTACAGCTACCCTTCCCAGAATCCTCTCCTCCTGGACTTCTGTGGAGTGGTGTCCTCTGGGAAATGTAGTTCAGTTGACGTATCCCTTCCTCTTTTGCCCATGTAAAGATGTTGCTGATTGCAAGGGGCAATTTTGGCACTTGGAGGGAGGAGACAAGTCTGGGGCAGGCAAGTAATTCAGAAGGGACACAAAAGCAGGCAGATCGCTCCCTCAAGTCAACTTTGTAGTTCATGATGGGAAAGTCATCCAAGAAGCAATGAAGAAATCCTTTGGATGACAGGTAATTACTGTAGTTGCTCACAATGCTTGGGATCCAATAGTTTCCTATTTTAATTAGTTACCCCTACTATACTCAAGTTTATTTTTGTTTTTGTTTTTAAGGAGTCAGGGAGTGGGAAGGATTGAGTGCTGGACCTGGAGTGAGGAATTACTGCTAGTTGTTTGCCTCTGGGCAAATCATCTCTCAACAGCTTAGTTTTCTCATCTGTAAAATGAGGATAGTAAAAGCATCTCATAAGGTTGTTGTAAAGATCAAATGAGATACTATGTTATAGTGCTTTTCCCTTGTTCATCTTGTTCACTCCCATGCTGTCACCTCTATCAACCAGTTGTTCAAAAAACATTAAGTGCCTACTATGTGGTAGGCAATATGATGAATGTAACAATTCTTATTTGTAAGAAACTTACGGTCTAGTCGTGGAAACAATAAGGGCATATGCATTTATATTAAAACTTAAACCTGCACTAAGACTTTTGGGACACCCTGTATAAGTATATACAGAATAAATATCAAGATAATTAATAACAAGTAGTTAAATACAAAGAAGCTTGACTCTCAAATTTATAATCCAGCCTCAATTGAGGCTCACCTCCCTGAGTTCTAGTCCCTCATCTCCTACCAATCCGTCAAACTGAACATATCCAATTCTCAACTCATTATCTTGGCCACTAAACCTGCTCCTTCCCTAATGTCTTTGTTTCTGTTTGTGGTACAATATCCTATTATGGGACTCAAGACCTCAGAGCCATTTTTGACTCTTCTTTCTCCCCAGTTCCTTATGTCCAACAAGCTGCTAAGTCTTGCAGAGTCTACCACTGTAATATGTCTTGCATCTGTCCTCTTTCCACTCATTCAGCCACCACTGTAATTCAGGCTCTAATCAGCTATCATTTAATATTTTAATTACTTCCCACCTTCTCTCCCTGTATCCAATCTCTCCTTTGGCATCCACCTTTCATGTAGCTAGTTAAATAATCTTTCTAATGCATATATCTGAGACTGTGTCATTCTCTTGTTTAGAATTATAAACTCAGCCTAGCATTTAAGGTATTCTATAACATGACCCTGATCTATCTTCCATGCCTTATTTCACACTCCTCCTCTTTCTGTTCTTTATATTTCGGCAAAACTGAACCAAAGTTGGCCAATCTTCCCTGTCTGTCCAATGTGTGTGTGTGTGTGTGTGTGTGTGTGTGTGTGTGTGTGTGTGTATGTGTGTATGTGTGTGTGTGTGAGTGTGTGTGATCCCCTAACCCTGATTCTATTCCCTTTAGACTAATACTTTCTGAAAGACATTTTTCTCTCCAAGGCCCAGTTCAGATGCTACCACTTCTATGAAGCTTTCCCTGCATTCTCCAGCTAAAAATGACTCCTCTCTTCTCATATTTTCTTCAAGTATTCTATCTGGATTTCTACTTTGCTTTTTTCACCTTGTATTATTCTTATATAAATGTATACAAATTGGATTACATTTCCATTATAGTTCCTTGAGGGTAGGAACTGTATTGTTTTTCATCTTTTCAGCCTTGGGATTTGTATATATTCCAATATATGAAATGTCTCTAATTTTGTCAGGAAGGAGGACTTCCAGCGTATGGGACCTCCCTCTACCAATGCAGATTGAGTTAAGGCCTAGGGAATTGTTTGAAGTCCATCATGCTACTAGGAAGTGTAAGAGTAGAATTTGGATAACTGTCTTCCTAACTGAGATCCCACCAACCTCTATTTCACATTCTGTTGTGTAGCCCCTAGTGATTGTCTGCCAATTCCTTTCATAGATATATATCACCCCAATATGTTATATACTAAACAAAAAGTCCTAAATGAATATTGACCTGTCTATTATACCAAAAGCATGCTTTAGAATCAAGATGGCTTAGGAGAGTTCAGTTATCAGAAATTCAGGTCTTGAACAAATTTGATCGCACTTTTGGGTGCAAGGTTTTTAATTTTGTTTTGTTTTGCTAATATTGTATTCCCAAACTTTTAAACCCTTTACCTAATGAGCTACAGGTGTCCCTGTGGAGTTTGGGGAATTTAAAGATAAATACTTCACAGAGTCCAGTACAGGCCATGAGAACAGGCCCAATAAATTTGCAAAGTCAACAATGAGGTGAGTCATACTCTCTCTACCTTTCCTTTTGTCCTTTCTCCACTCTTTCTTTTTTTTTTTCCTGGTGTGACTTTATTTATTTATTTTTTTAATATAAATTTATTTATTTTTAGTCTTCAACATTCACTCCCACAAGTTTTTGAATCCCAAATTCTCACCCCATCTCCCCCTCCCCCACCCCAAGATGGCATGCATTCTCAATATCCCTTCCCCTAGTCTGTCTTCTCTTCTATCTCTCTCCCCTTCTCTTATCCCCTTCCCCTTCTATTTTCCTATAGGGCAGGATAGACTTCTGTACCCCATTTCCTGTATTTCTTATTTCCCAGTAGCATGTGAAAACATTTTTTTAAACATATGTTTTTAAAACTTTAGGTTTCAAATTTTCTCTCTTCCTCCCTCCCCACCCACCCTCATTGAAAAGGCAAGCAACTCAATATAGGTTACACATATGCAGTTATGCAAAACACTTCCATAGTAGACATGTTGTGAAAAACTAACTCTATTTCCCTTAATCCTATCCTGCCCTCCCATTTATTCTCTTCTTTCTTTTGACCCTGTCCCTCCTCAGAAGTATTTACTTCTGATTACCCCTTTCCCAATCTGCCCTCCTCTCTATCATCCCCCTGCTCTCTTGTCCCCTTCTCCCCTATTTTCCTGTAGGGTAAGACAGATTTCCATACCCAATTGAATGTGTATGTTATTCCCTCCTTAAGCCCAATCCTACGACAATAAGATTCACTCATTCCCTCTCACCTTCCCCCATTTCCCCTCCACTGTAAGAGACTTTTCTTTTCTGTTTTTTTTTGTGAGATAATTTACCCCATTCTACCTCTCCCTTTCTTCTTCTGAGTATAATCCTCTCTCATCCCTTAATTTTATTCTCCAGATATGACCCCTTAATCTTCAACTCACCCTGTGCCCTCTATCTATCTATCTACATATACATACATATAATTTTTTTCCTCCAACTACCCTAATACTGACAAAGGTCTCATGAGTTATAAATATCATCTTTCCATGCAGGAATGTAAACAGTTCAATCTTAATAAGTCTCTTATGATTTCTCTTTCCTGTTTACCTCTTCATGTTCCACTTGAGTCCTGTATTTGAAAGTCAAATTTTCTATTCAGCTCTGGTCTTTTCATCAAGAATGCTTGAAAGTCCTCTATTTCACTGAATGACCATTTTTTCCCCTGAAGGATTATACTCAGTTTTGCTGGGTAGGTGATTCTTGGTTGTAATCCTATCTCCTTTGCCCTCCGGAATATTATATTCCATGCCCTGCGTCCTTTAATGTAGAAGCTGCTAAATCTTGTGTTATCCTGATTGTGTTTCCACAGTACTTGAACTGTTTCCTTCTGGCAGCTTGTAATATTTTCTCCTTGACCTGGGAACTCTGGAATTTGGCTATAATATTCCTAGGAGTTTTCCTTTGGGGATCTCTTTCAGGAGGAGATCTGTGGATTCTTTCAATTTCTATTTTGCCCTCTGGTTCTAATATATCAGGGCAGTTTTCCTTGATAATTTCTTGAAAGATGATGTCTAGGCTCTTTTTTTGATCATGGCTTTCAGATAGTCCAATAATTTTTAAATTCTCTCTCCTGGATCTATTTTCCAGGTCAGTTGTTTTTCCAATGAGATATTTCACATTGTTTTCTAATTTTTCATTCTTTTGGATTTGTTCTACTGTGTCTTGATTTCTCATAAAGTCACTATCTTCCAATTGCTCTATTCTAATTTTTAAGGAAGTATTTTCTTCAGTAATCTTTTGGACTTCCTTTTCCATTTGGCCAATTTTTCTTTTTAGGGCATTTTCTCCTCATTGGCTTTTTGGACCTCTTTTGCCATTTGGGTTAGGCTATTTTTTAAGGTGTTATTTTCTTCAGTATTTTTTGGGTCTCCTTTAGCAAGCTGTTGACTTGTTTTTCATGATTTTCTTGCATCACTCTATTTCTCTTCCCAGTTTTTCCTCTACTTCCTTACTTGCTTCTCAAAATCCCTTTTGAGCTCTTCCAAGGCCTGGGACTGATTCATATTTTTCTTGGAGGCTTTGGATGTAGGAGCTTTGACTTTGTTTCTTCTGGTTGTATATTTTGATCTTCTTTTTCACCAAAGTAAGATAATATGTCTGACTTTTTTGCGCTGCTTGCTCATGATCCCAGCCAATTACTTGAGTTTTAAACTCTTTGTTAAGGTAAGAGTCTGCTTCCAATGTGGAGAATGTACTGTCCCAAGCTTAGGGGGTTTGTATAGCTGTTTTCAGAGATACTTGTAGGGACCTGTAAATTTTCAGTTCTTCCGAGGTGGTATGATAAGGGGCGAGGTGTTTACTCCTTTCCTGGCCTGTGACCACAAGTATTCCTTTCTGTCCTGTAACTGTGAGGAGGGTTCCTCTCCACAGCCACTACAAGCTCCACCATGCCACGTTCCTCCTCACCCCAGCACTGCCCCAGAACTGTGACCCAGATCCAAACAGGGCAAAGCAAGAGATTCCTGCCTCAGCACTGGCAAAGAGATCCCTGCAATCCCTCTCTGATCAGCCACCGGATTCCCCCTCAGTCTGTGGGCCAGGAGCTTGGGAAGCAGCTGCCCCCACCAGGGCCACCCTCTTGGGGAATGGAGCTGA